GGGTTTTTTCGAATTTCATCTATACCACATATCACATAAGTCATACCATTAAACCTATGCATTTCTCGGGATAATGACATGAATATCTTTTACAACATTTTCATCTGGGTATACCATCAACGCCCTTGAAATATATGACATATTTGGATTACCAAGTAACCTTGTTTTTTAATGTAATGTAACTTTTGTAACTAGTACGCTAGGAAGCAAAACCCTGAAAAGCTGAACAGAAACCTGTTGTGGAGGGCCAACTCCTCTCATAGTTCAATCAATTGTTACCGAAACTGCAAGGATAATCAAACACCAGTTGACAATGGAATTGGTGGTTCTTGGGAGGCGACGATCCAGGTGCTCGAGGAAGATATCATGACGCTTCTGAACCAAAGCCAAAAGGACATTCAACGGCTAACTACGTCGAAATGGTGATGGAAATAGGACCTGTGAAAGCGTCATGGGGAAAGCGTGGAATTAAAGTGAAAACTAAAATGATGACAGATTAATTGAGTTCTGCAGTCTCAATACTGTGTTTATTTTTACCATCTTTTCATATCGACAAATACACAAGTTAACATGGGTTTCTCCAGGGGAAGGAACAATGAAAAACGTGAAATTAAAAATAAAACATGTAAAACATATCGAAGAAAACAGCCAAGCTTCAGCAGTCTCAAACTAAGGCAAAATTTACACTTGAATTAAGTAATAAATTTGATGTCCTTAAAGATTATGAAAATATTGAGGACAGTATTGAAAATAAATGGCAACGTCTGGAGGATGCTTACAAGGAAACTGTACAGAAGGTTCTAGGATATAAAAAAAGGATCAGAAACCATTGATTAGCTGTAAAGAGTCATGGAACCTGATTGAGGAGAGAGAAACTGAAGACTAATATTGAGGAGGCAGAATTTTTGTAGAATCTAGCTTACCGGGGAAAGGATAAGGAAGTTAAAAGAAGTATGAGGAAGGATAAAAAAAAAATGGACCGATGATCTGGCATCTTGGGCAGAACAGGTTACTCGGAA